TGTAAATGTGTCATTAAACCCGCCACCATCATATACCTACGTGACCTTACCGAAAGAACCAAAGAGTATGGATTCGTGCAGTCACGAAAGCTTCAAATCATGATTGATTATATTATCCTTGGCCCATGATTACATCTCAGGATAAGGGCGAGAGGGAGGAGACTTGATTTAAAGCTTTCGTGACTGCAGTAATTCATATTCTTAGTTCTTTCGGTAAAGTCACGTTGAAGGGAAACAATAAAATAATAAAATATATATAAAAACAATAAAAAATTCTCACGACGTTTCGACCATAACACAAACGGTCGTCATCAGGTGTGTCGGTTCGCATTAATTTATTTATTTTTAAACGGTGTATTTACTTATTTATAAAAAAAAACGTCAGCGCCACTCGCAGCGATTTGGCAGTTTATTTAGAAGGACTTGTCCATCTATGTTCTGAAAAGAGGAGGGGGGAGACGAAAAATTAATGTATGCTGTCTGAAAGCCACTGTAAGCGTGAACAATCAATTAAGACCTGAAATGGTTTATCAAATCTTTCCAATGATTGCTAAGCCAGAATCCATCTTTTCGGTTGAAATTGTCTCTGTGCTTGTATATGTGGATAGCCTCATGAACGAATCTCTCATGGTAGCCAGATGGCTTACAAAGAACCTCTGTCTTGGAAAAGTCAATGTCATGTGAGCCTACTGAATTATAACAATGATCTGCCATGGCCGAGGTGTTGGTCCTACCGTGTTTAAGGTCTGCTTTGTGTTCACGAATGCGGTCCGAGACATGGCGTTTGGTTTCTCCAATGTAACTACTACCACAGAGGCAACTTAGTTTTGTAGACACCAGGGTACTGTATGTCCGGAATCACATCTTTTACAGACGGAACCAGATCATGGATTTTATGTAATGTGTTGAAACGGACCTGGATCTTGTGTTTATTCAAGATTTTGGAGATGTTTTTTGTGATCCTCGCAATGTAGGGTAAAGTGATGGTTTTGAAAGGCTCCTCAAGAGGGTCCTTCTTCATGGTTTGAGTAATAGCTTTGCAGATTGTATAGTCGGAGTAACCATTAGCCTTAAGAGCTTGGTGTACGTGCTTGAGTTCACTGCCTATGTGTTCCTGGTCGGATATGCATTGGGCTCTATGATACAGAGTCTTGATGAGAGAATTCTTCTGTGATGGATGGTGGTGGGAATCCGGTTTCAGATAAGCATCCGTATGGGTAGCTTTCCTGTAGGCAGAGTGGCTCATTGAACCATCAGGTCTCTTTTTAATTAGGACATCCAAAAAAGGTAGCTTGCCATCTTTTTCGACTTCCATGGTAAATCTGATGGCTGGGTGTATGGAATTGATGTGGTCGAAGAATTGGTCTAGAGCAGGCCGGCCATGTAGCCAGATGACAAAAGTATCATCCACGTACCTCTCCCGTAAGGTTGGGCGCAGTGTGGCAGTCTGGATGGCGTCAGTCTCAAATTTCTCCATGAAAATGTTAGCTATAACCTGAGATAGGGGGGAGCCCATTGGGGTGCCCTCAGTTTGTTTGTAGAAAGTTCCATTCCAAGTGAAGTATGTATTGGTTAAACAGTGTCTCACCAGGGGGGGTACCTCAGTGTTTAGTCCTTGATGAACCAAGTCTTCAATGATTGCGATGGTGTCAGGTACAGGAACCTTGGTGAATAAGGAAACTACATCAAAACTGACAAGCAGGTCGTCTGGGGACAGGGAAATACCCTTGATTGTCGATACCAGGTGAGTAGAATTTTGTACCACAGAGGTGGTTTTTCCAGTGAAAGGACGCAGGATTTCAGACAAAAAACGAGCCAGTTTGTAGGTGGGGGAGTTGATAGTAGAGACGATGGGACGAAGGGGTGTATCTACTTTATGTATTTTTGGTAAGCCGTATAATCTTGGTGGCCTGGATAGGAGTCTATCAACAGAGGGGGAGGAGTCTATCAACATCAGGGGGGGAGGAGTCTATCAATATCAGAGGGGGGAGGAGTCTATCAATATCAGCGATCCCAACCCGGGGAGGTGCCAGAGGAAATGCTGAGCTAGGATTGGTCAGCTTGGTTCAAGAGCAAAAGAGCGGGAAAGTGGAATAGGGGGAGGAGACGGCGGGGAGTCGGTTCGGGGGGGTGGCAGAGATGGGATTGGTGGAGGAAGGGGGGGGACGAGAAGGAGGGGGACGAATTAAAGGAGGGGGTCGAGAAGGGTGGGGGGGGGGTCGAGAAGGGTGGGGGAGGGGGTCGAGAAGGGTGGGGAGGGGTCGAGAAGGGTGGGGGGGGGTCGAGAAGGGTGGGGGGTCGAGAAGGGTGGGGGGGGTCGAGAAGGGTGGGGGGGGGTCGAGATGGGTGGAGGGGGGGGGTCGAGAAGGGTGGGGGGGGGTCGAGAAAGGTGGGGGGGGGGGGGGTCGAGAAGGGTGGGGGAGGTCGAGAAGGGTGGGGGGGGGGTCGAGAAGGGTGGGGGGGTCGAGAAGGGTGGGGGGGGGGTCGAGAAGGGTGGGGGGGGGGGGTCGAGAAGGGGTGGGGGGGGGTCGAGAAGGGTGGGGGGGGTCGAGAAAGGGTGGGGGGGGGGGTCGAGATGGGTGGAGGGGGGGGGTCGAGAAGGGTGGGGGGGGGTCGAGAAAGGTGGGGGGGGGGTCGAGAAGGGTGGGGGGGGGTCGAGAAGGGTGGGGGGGGGGTCGAGAAGGGTGGGGGGGGGTCGAGAAGGGTGGGGGGGGTCGAGAAGGGTGGGGGGGGGTCGAGACAGGGTGGGGGGGGGGTCGAGAAGGGTGGGGGGGGTCGAGATGGGTGGGGGGGGGTCGAGAAGGGTGGGGGGGGGTCGAGATGGGTGGGGGGGGGTCGAGAAAGGTGGGGGGGGGTCGAGAAGGGTGGGGGGGGGTCGAGAAGGGTGGGGGGGTCGAGAAAGGTGGGGGGGGGTCCGAGAAGGGTGGGGGGGGTCGAGAAGGGTGGGGGGGGGGTCGAGAAAGGTGGGGGGGGTCGAGAAGGGTGGGTCGAGAAGGGTGGGGGGGTCGAGATGGGTGGAGGGGGGGGTCGAGAAGGGTGGGGGGGGGGTCGAGAAGGGTGGGGAGGGGGTCGAGAAGGGTGGGGGGGGAGACGGCGGGGAGGAATGGCGGATTGGAGGTTTCGGAGTCGGTGTGCCACAACAATGGGCCTCATATCGGACGTCCGCGTAGTAACTCAGTCCTTCTACACGTTCATATATTTATATGTTTTAGTGATTTGCTGAACATTTCTCTATACTCTCGTATCAGTTCTTGTACTATTTTTGTTTGTTTCTTTATTGATGTAACTCGATGAGCCGCCCCAAATCGACGTCTGTGAAAAAGCTTCCGTAGCTCATTGCATTCCTCCTGGAGTCTAAAACAAAGATTCTGATGACATCAACAACGAGGCATCAATAATGAGGTCTTTCTGAAAAAACGCGGGGACCACCGGTTCAGATGTATTTTGTGTTTATTTAAAGAAGATTAACAATTACAAAACAACGTACATCACTTCACCAATGCCAAGTAACATTCTCAAATGCTGTACCCATGATGTAGACAATCGGTCATCACCACGCTGCCCATCACGATATCTGCGTTATCGCACAGCCCATACCTGAACATCACGCGTAATATTTATTATCTACGCACACATATTAACATTACAATGTTTTGATTTAAAGCTTTCGTGACTGCAGTAATTCATATTCTTAGCTCTTTCGGTAAAGTCACGTTGAAGGGAAACAATAAAATAATAAAATATATATAAAACAATACAAATTCTCACGACGTTTCGACCATAACACAAACGGTCGTCATCATGATGACCGTTTGTGTTATGATTATGATGACGTTGTAAACATGATGACCGTTTGTGTTATGATTATGATGACGTTGTAAACATGATGACCGTTTGTGTTATGATTATGATGACGTTGTAAACATGATGACCGTTTGTGTTATGATTTTGATGACGTTGTAAACATGATGACCGTTTGTGTTATGATTATGATGACGTTGTAAACATGATGACCGTTTGTGTTATGATTATGATGACGACCGTTTGTGTTATGGTCGAAACGGCGTGAGAATTTGTATTGTTTTATATATATTTTATTATTTTATTGTTTCCCTTCAACGTGACTTTACCGAAAGAGCTAAGAATATAATACTATTACAATGTTTTCTAAGTTTTGTAGTTGTAAACATTTTATGAAATTCATTATTTGTGATCCTCGGGTAAACATTTTTTTAAAAAATTTTGGCTGCCTCTATTACATTACCACCATGTAGCTCCAACTACACCCTCGTACCCTACTTTGCAGCTTTAGCATCTCCTTTTCACTCACATTTCCTAAAGTTACTGAAAACATGCGGCATCACTTCAACCCCAACCTTGAATATCCCCAAATGTGGAATGCTGGAACCCGAGTAATCACGCAATAGCATGTGTCTCAATCCTTGTGGGAAAGCCAGCAGTCCAGTGCAGTCTGAATTACTTTGCTTTATTTAGTTGGCTACATGGAACGTGGACATTAATTTAACCCGCAAAATATAAAAGTCGACAAGAGCGCGTTCACATTTATCAAGAGATATCTGTGAATTATGATCATATCTATGTGCCTTTTAAAAAGCCCTGCGGAGCAATGGATGCCCTTGCTGAAATATTATTAGGGGCCATCCATTTAGTACGTATGCAAAAATGTGTCAATACTTGACAACTCCAAAACTCCCTCTACGCACGCGTACTTTTTACATCCCCCCCCACCTCCGTACGTACACTTGATACACCCACCCCACCGAATCCTATAGAACGGCCGATATTTAATCCACTCATTAAATATCGGCCTAGCTTTACACGCAGCTTTGTACAGTTATACTTTACCGTGTTATCCCATCCTGACTGGTTATTCAAAAACACGTCGATTATGATCGTAAACACACGAAACTCGGTGAACCAGTCTCTATATAAAGTGCGTCCACTGACCATCTGCTCTAACAGTAGCCCGATGTACAGACCTGTGTTAGTACTGAAGTCCGGACAGCAGCAGCAGCAGCACGAACAGAGCACCACGGCAGCTAAAACCTTGAGCCAGCGGCAGTCTGCAGTGAGGCCAGATTGCAGGAAGTGTGATCATCATCCGTGGTGGGTCTGGCCGCCAGACGATGGCAGACTCACTGCTGAGCTGTGTGATAGCTCGCAGTCAGGGGTACGCTGGCACACAAGTGACACCTCTCCCACAGACCTACTTCTCCCGGTAGTACTTGCTGTCTGACAGCTGAAGAAACTGAACTGTGGCTCATTTGAAAGCCAACGTAGACAAATTATTACCGAGGATTTTACCCCCCCCCCCCCCGTTTCCTATGCGTACGGACATTGTCAGTAGACCCCCCCATACGCAAGCGTACGCATTTGGGTTAACCATCCCCCCTCCATGCATACGTACTAAATGGATGGTCCTTTATCAGTGCCGTATTGCACAAGCGAAAAACTACACGGCGTGCAAACAAAACACAAACATACGTGCTGACCTATGGGGAATTCAGTTTAGAGTGTATGCGTTGCTCAATTGCAATGTTATTTTTTCCAGATGCAGTCCGAGGCCAGAATCGGATCAGAATCCGTATTCACCCTGGATGAATATGATGAAGCTCTTTTTCAAACACTGTATGCCCAGTAGGGGCGGGTCATGAAGTACCTGGACTGGTAACGATGAACTGAGAGACTGCAGAAGATACACGCGGCATCATGCCCCTGCAGCCCTTTGACTTTCATCCCTCGACTCAAAACACCAGCAGAGGCCTCGGGAATGGCTGAAACAGCCAATTGGGAACAACTGGGCGAGAACGTGGCGGACCCGCCTTGTTACTCTGTACACAGTGCCAGGGCGTGCGTGAGAAACAGCAGCAAGGGCTTCAAGCCACAAAGACATTTGTTATAATAATAATAGGGTTATTCCCCTTTTTTATGGCAACAAAACTGAAACCTTATTACAAGGACTCATGTCTGCATTAACCACAATACCTGCAGTCAAAATGCAAAAAAAAACATACTGTTTTAATATATGCGTTGTCCTTGAAACTGATTGGTCCACACCAAAGGGACGGCTTTCTTTTGAGCCTCGGCCCAATTGATGCTCGACCAGATGACACCAAAAGGCGTCCAAAATGACGCCAAAAGGCGTCCTTTTGGCGTCATCTGGTCGAGCACCAATGGGGTCGAGGCTCAAAAGAAAGCCGTCCCTTTGGTGTGGACAAATCAGTTTCAAGGACAACGCATATATTATCATCGTATGTTTTTTGTTTGTATTTTGACTGCAGGTATTGTGGTTAATGCAGACATGAATCCTCGTAAAAAGATTTCAGTTTTGTTGCCAGAAAAAAGGGGAATAACCCTATTATATTTTGGTACTGGCAAAGGAGGTCTAATGATGTAGACATTTGTCATGTTTGTCGAGGAGACTTCAAATGTCCAAGTCCTGCGGTATTTGCTTGAATATGACTTTTAAAATCACGTTCCGCGCAAGCAGTGCACGGCGTTCATTTATTTACTTGTGTATTTAATTTCTTCAGCAACGACACTTTGCGGGTGACTTGTTCGTAAAAGCGTGGCGAGCTGTAAAGGAGCGGCCGCACTTGAAAACAAAAACGCCGTCTTAGCCGGGATAGCTTTGTGCAGATATTAAAGAGGCGAGTGTATTTACTGTGAAGCTTCCCAACACAGGGAGTCGAGAATTAAAGCCGTTGTGAGGCTCCGCCATCTTCGAATCAGCTGCACAAAAAAAATATTTCGATGGCAAAGAAACGTGCAACCAAATGCGCAAACAGCTGGCTTCACGTCGACGCATACCTTCGCTGCGTAAGACTGGCTGTCCTTGACACTAATCGTACTGAGAATAGCCCGCATCAGAGCCACACAGCGCCCTCTGGTGGTGCATACCAGCCCCGCGCACTCTTACAAGGTGAGAGCCCAGTGACCCCGGCGACACGCCAAGGTAGTGGTGCGGTGTGTGCTGGTGAAAGTCAACTCCACTTTCGAATATTGAGGCCAGCGCTTGGAGAGGAATGAATGTTTAATGGGCAGCACGCCATTCTACAACTCGGAAGCCAGGATTTGAGATAGCGATGTCAACAGAGCAATATTTCAATATTGGCATGATTGCAGGGGGGAAAAGAATAACTGATTGAAACGCGTGCACCTACGCTCGCTTCAGCAGGTACAACTCCTTGGTGAGCATGGACACCGTGCACGGTATCTGCTTGCTGTTGTTGAGGTCAGCGTCGGTGGTGTTCGACGTGAACTCCGTGGCGACCCGCCGGTTGACTCGCGTGAGTATCTTGGTGAGCTCCATCCGCTGGCCATGCTCCTGCAGCTCGGAGCACAGCAGCTGGATGAAGCATGAACCGTTCGCCGGGTTACGCCAGGAGAAGTACCCTGCGGGGAGGGAGTCGCACGCTCTCGATATCAGAAACCCATGGGAGAAGTTTGCGGTGGGGGGGGGGGGGGGGGGTGGGGGGGGGGGGGGGGGCAATGTCCCGCCGCCCAAACTGGATACCTTCATTGATTTATTTTCAGAAGTTTACAATTCAGATTTAAAAAAATATATATATATTATATGCACCCGCAATTCCTAATGTGAGGGTCAAAGCGAACCCCCCCCCCCCCCCCCCCCCCCCCAAATATAAAAGTCAAACTCCACCGGAACCCGATTCACTCTTTAATCGCTCGCACCCAGTGACGGGCTAGGACTAAAACTAAATCGGCTCAGGACTATTTGTAAACACACCGGCCCAAATTCGGGAAATGGGCATTTACTTATTTTAAATGGGTTGCCAGACGAACTGTATACTCGTACTCGTCCCTTGATTTGCAATGTGACGACGTTTCGGCGTGATTTTGCCGTGCGATCTCATTGGACCATTTGGGTTAGGTCCAAAAAACATAAATTGGCCGGTGAGGAAAAATGTTTGGGGCTTCCAAAGATTTTGAGAGCGTAAATAAGTAATGAAGAGTACACATTAGAGGTAATCAAATATTTAAATATATTTTTTTACTCTTATCGCATTTGAAATTTCCCCACACACACACTGGTTCTCCAGCCCTCAGAATGGACCGACCCACCAGGCATTTGCCCGGACTGCTGCCCTATGGCCAGTCTGGGCCATAGGACTGTTTGATACTGGCCGTTTAGCGTTTGAGGCCTTCAGGCCTGTGCTCGGCAACCGTGATTAAAGTATATATGTAAAAAAAACACATTTGAGAGTCAAGCTCAATGTTCAAGCGTCTCGCAGTCCAAACGCACGTGTTGCGATACGCGTCTGGCTGATTCTAGCTGTCAGTGGGAATTCCACATTCCCTTGATGGGGGGGGCAGTCTATCCGAAAGGATGGTCATTGTTGGCTTGGCACAATATTGTCCACATTTTATTCACACAGGAGCGATGATGGGCCTTGTCAACCTCCATCAGGAAAACTGAACGACTTTATAACGGTGAGTTGAATGCTATATATATGCGGACATGCTCGGCTGCATTTGAAGCTATTTTTTGTGGTCAGCATCATTGCTGGCATTCTCTTGTGTAGTTATGAGAATGGTTCAAGTAATTCCAGGAGTTTTGCTCAGAAAAGAGAGTTTTAGTTCCAGGATCCTGGTATGCACATTTTGTCGCAGATGAGTGTGGAATCACCCGCCAGCGCTTGCCGTGGGTGATAAGCACATCATGCGGTCTGCGAGTTGTCATGGATAAGAGGCGTCATGTGGCACATTCGTCCTTTTAGCCGGAAGGTCATTTTGCGGTGAAGGAAACTTTTTGCGAATAGTATCGGAACTCTCTCATCTGCAACAGACAACAGCGCTACATCAGCGGCCCGCATGACAAGATTTTTCCGCTGTATTAGTCGTGCCGATTGATTGAGCCGAATTTGTCATGTTTTGGGCCTTTCGGTAAAGTCACGTAGATAGGTTCAAATAAATTAAAATAAAAACTACGACGTTTCGATCGCTAACACAAGCGGTCGTATTTTTTTGTTATTTCATTTTCTTTGAACCAATCTACGTGACTTTACCGAAAGACCCAAAGAATATGAATTCCTGCAGTCACGAAAGCTTTAAGTGAAGACCGAATTTGTCAGTTACTACAACCTACCATTTAAGTTTGGAAACATTTGTTGTTTTCTGGGAAACATCAAAGCATTCAGTGAACATGGATAAGATCTTGGCTGCGTGCTGAAAGCAAGGCACGCGGCTCGTCACCTGACACGGTGGCGAATGCGAACAGGAAGTCTGGCTGCATGAGATCGACAGTGGGCAGCAGAGAGGCTTCCTTCACATCCGGGTCTCCATCGCATTCAACCTTGTCCACACCTTTGTCCAGCAAGGTTCCACGGCAAGCCTGGGTGGAGAAACACAGCAACAGCGTCATCGGCATCATCGTCAGCATCGTCTACCTATTCTAGGAACGACTCGCCAAGTCCCGAGACTATTTCCAGGACCTGCTAGTCGTGCGGTATTTGACCAATTCCTCCTTAATTCGTTCACCGTGCCGCAGGAAAAACTCAGTGTGCATATGAGAGGCTGACACTCAAACCCAGAAAGGGCCATGAACTAACACGCTTTGCTGCCCTTCCCCCAGTCTCCCCACAGCTTAGAGGGTTGGGAGTTTCACAACTCTATATTTCATCCAACAACCTTCATATCCGGAATACTGGATTATAGGCTTGTTCCACCGAATACATATATTTCAACATCACTCAAATTATCAATCAAGACAGGTGATGGTGCGAGCGGTCGTAGTGATTGGCTCACAGGAGGTTTTGAGTTAAAATTATGTTGTAGAGTCAGCTCAGCCTATCCTTTGTCACGAGACAATAATATGGTTATCTTTTTTTTAAGCACCTACGATTAACACGGTTGGCTACTTAACGGCGCGAAAGAAGTTCAACATACATATACATGCATACATTGCGGGAAGTCATCAACGGTTTTCTTATGACGAGTCTGGTCCCCTGACACAGATGCCGTGTGCAGAACTCCCACCACTGTTTAAAGCAGGCAGTGACACTGTCATTGAGCTTGACTCGGTCAGGTGCTCTGATGCGACTCGCACCGCATGCTAAGCCCGCAAACACATGGCAACGCTACCCCACAGCACAAGCGCAACAAAAAAATAACTTACACTTTTGGCCGACCCCAGATTCCCGGGCCGACGACGTTGCTCTGGAATCCCCCACGGCTGTGCACGTTGGGGCAGCAGCAGCAGCACAGACGCACGGGTGGCGAGTTCAGGTGTTGGCCGGGCGGACGCACCTGTATGAAGACGAGTCGAGGCTTTCCAACCAGCGAGGGGCAGCTGCTGTCGGCGAAGGGCTTGACGATGTCGGAGAGGGGCAGCGGGCCGTCCGTGCCGTACACCACGCCGTCCTCGCCATGGCTCAGCACCACGCACACGAGGCAGGCGCAATTCTTGAGATTCTCCTGCGATACTGCGGGCGGGGGGGGGGGGACACGTGTCTCTTCGTTGCCAACCGCGCCTCGTTTTACCAGTGCCGCCGATGGTGTGCAACCTGCCTGGGTGGGAACTACGGTTCGATGGCGAGCATCACGGGCTGGCAATTGCAAGGCGACGAGTTAAAAGCTCATTCCATCGTTGCAGCATCAAACGTTTTTCGAGCAATATTGTGGGAAGCCAGGATTGGTTGTCCTGCACCAAGAATGGCCACTGTCGTTGGAATATGGCATTGTAGCTTTGGATGGGAATTCCGGGCAGGTTCCGGTCAGGGTTAGCTGCTGTATTTGCACTCCCTTGACTTTATCAGGCAGGGCGGTTAAAGTCCATCCCGTATGGCCCTGGTAGACTCATCCCGTTATCGTTATTCCTCCAGCACTTGGTGAGAAACCAACAGTGGACGTCCAAAGGGCATACTTGCCTTCGCTATACGAATGTGGAGTCTTCACCACGAGCTCATGGCTGCCAAAGGAGACGAGTGCTGCTCGATCACTTGCATCACCATGGATACAGTTGTTGTATATGTGGGTGTGTGAAAATTGATGAAAAATAATTAAAATTAAATGAAATTCGAAATTTGCATAATTAATCCAAAATTATGTTAATTCGTGTAATTATGCGTGTAACTATGCTAATTAGAGAGGTAATCGTATTAATTTATACGAGTGGGTGTGGTTGTGTTAATGATAGCCTTTATGATAATCAGGCCCCGCCTCGTTGACGAGGTGGGGTTATCAATCAGGATAACGCAATCAATCGTGTGCAGTTACGCTAGTGTCAATTCGGCCTCGTTGTCTAACTTCGTATTATTGATCAGCATTAATACAATGATTCTCGCTTTAACACTCCCCGAGTGTTCATATTTTAGGTCCCAAGTTCATATCATTCGCTTTAAAGTTTAATGAGTGTGGATTGGTGTGTTTATAGTTTAGGTTCCCGAGTTCATATCTCGTCGCAGGATACAGATCTTATGCAAAAAATTCAGGAAAGAATCACACGACCACTTCTGTATTAATCAATTTATTTTCTAATTAAACCTTAACTATAATATGTATGTGAACTCTCAATCTCGGAACTTCAACACGGTATCCACACGGTATCAAGACAGTATCATCAACGACTGTACGATTTCACTTTGATAACACATGGACCCCGCATAAAGCGATTGCTGTTAGTGAGAGAGAGAGTCAGGACATGCAAATGCTATGCTACACAAAAGCTTATACATTATAATATGAACGATCATTATGCTTGAAATGGTCAGCACATTATCACAGGCGATTGATTAACATGCCAACGGTATTCATATAAAAAGACAATCAAACAGTTATTATTTCCAAAGGCATAAATGTAACAACAGATCCACCGGACAGACTATAAGATTACCGAAATGGCTTAGTGTGAGGGTATGCGGCGGAACGTGTTATCTCACGGGAGATTAATTAATTAATTCGTGAATAAGATTGTATGATCAGAAAATCGGTTTAGCACGATTCCTCCCCGGGAGCGTAGCTCCGTGGCGAAGGTGCCAAGGGTTAATTCGTATTGATGGATCGGTTGGTAACTTATGCGATTAGAAGTACAGTCCAAAACAAAATATTAAAGAGGGAAATTATGAATATACTTATAAATGTCAGACTGTTATCACACAATCGATGCTTCCACAGCCAGATGGTTCACGGACTTGAGTGTTCGCCTCTGGTTAAGGACCCGTGTATGTTTGAGTGATATGAATTGTTTTGAATAGTCAGTGTTTGGAATTAATTCTTTGCGTTGCCATACGCTGAAGTTGGCATCGCTTGTAGGAGAAGTAGCCTCGCTCCCTTTAGAGCGGTGAGGTGTGTGGGAGTGTGCATCATACGAATCGCCGCCCTCCTCCACGCAGCAGCCAGCCTCTGTCCACGGGGGAGAGTTGCTTGATCGCTCTCAGTGCTGCTCAGTGGACACCTCTCTCCACTGCTGGATGAGCTGCGCGATCACGCTCGTGCTGGTTCGCTGACAGCAGTTTCTCTCCGCTGTTGGATGAGCTGCATCGGCACGCTCCCTCTCTCTGGGTGGAGAACTCGAACGTCCTCGTTGCTGGTTTGCTGAAAGCAGGTTTTTCTCCACTGCTGGATGACTCAAGTCGCACGTGTTCTTGCTCTGGTTTGCAGAAGCTCTTGATTGGTGCGTCGGTTGCTGTGCAGCTGGACTCAATGTAGAATAAACTTTCAGCAATACTCTTTCTTTCAGCTCTTTTAAAATCACACTCGGTGGCGCTCCACTACCTTGCGAGTCTTGCCAACGTCAGTGGGTAGCGACGGGGCCACTTTGGCCTCTGCTCGCCGCCCCCTGCTCTGCAGCTCGCCGGCTGGCGACCTGTTGCTCTCGTTCCCGATTGGAACTGCTCCTGAGCTGACCCACTGGTCGAACTCTCCGCGTTCCGACCCCTCCGAGTCGAACTCCCCGAGTTCCGACCCCCCTGGTCGAACTCCCCGAGTTCCGACCCCTCCGAGTCGAACTGTCTCCCGAGAGTCGACCCCCCGGTCGAACTCTGGTGAGCCGACCCCCCCCGGGTCGAACTCTGGTGAGCCGACCCACTCCTGTCGAACTGAGGTTTCAATGTTCAGGATCCTCTTTTTATGCCCAAAAATCCCTTCACTCGGATCCTGCCCACAAGGCGGGGTTTCTTTCGATTTTTGCTGTGTCAGGATTTGTCCGTATGTATCTGTGTCCGTGTGTGTCCGTACGTGTGTCAGTGTGTGTCCTTGTGCATCACCCACGGTATATTCCGTTGTCATACTCCTACCATAAAACCCACAAGTAAAACAATCAAATGTTATAAATTGTCTCGAAGGCGCCTCTCTGTCTGGGTGCACAACCTGGAGGGAGGGGCGATATTCCCTCCGACTTTCACCGACGCACAAAGAAATGGTTAAAAAGTTTTAAGTTAACATTTCATTTCATCAGAGTTCCATAGTTATGATTCTGTATTAATCCAAGGTCTGAGTCAGCTTCTCGTTGTGGTGTTTGACTCGTGTTTCCCCAAGCGTATACACACTCCTACCCCGCGCTGCAGGGATACAAAGACGGCCGGGATTTCCCTTTCTCTCCGACCCTGGGTTTAACATCGCCCTTTGCTTACGTTGCAGTTTTGCTGTGCGCTTGCATTTCTTTTCCTCTCTACTCTTACTTTAACCCTGCTTATTATTTGCGTATGGGTGGAGGCTAGAGCATTTATGTTGACTTAGGAAAACCTGATTGTTATAGGCTTCGGGTCAAGTCGTATAGAAATTATTAAAATATGAAAATACATTTCATATTAAATTAATAGACGGGTGATGGTTACATTGACGTAGCTTGTGGCAGGGTTCAATTGAAGTGGGTGTGAAGATCAATAACTTTAGCCTACCCTGTCGTTGAATTCCGATTTTAAGTTACTTTAATAGTAATGTAGAACCAATCAGCTTTTTGACTGAACTATATCTAGGCTAACGCAAACTCCCAGTGACCCTGGCTTGGTGTGTTTACGTCAGCCCCTGGCAATTCGCTGTGCTCTGCTCTCTATCTGCTCCCTCTGACCCTGGGAGGGCTCTGAATGTCAAAATCGTGTTAGTGGGTCAAGGTAAATATGACCTCCACATGCCATGCTGAGGCCTGGTTTGGTGTTTTTATTCATTATTAAAATTAAAAGAAACAATAGAAATATGTATCTATATGTATTGAAAAATTACTTGTTAATATTAAGATGGAAAGGGGGCATATACAACATCCGCCCTTTTAAAAATGATCGGGGGTCATTTGGCCACAGGTCATTTTTAAAATTAAGAATATATGCACTTTTCCATCATGAATCATCAATATTACTCAAGTAATTTTTTCTTACAACGCGCGCACGTCACAACTTATGATTACATTTGAAATAAGAAAAGAAATACTAAAAGGAAGGTAAAACAAGGGGAAATTGTTTTACTGGCTACATGTTATAGGAGATGTCGTTATTCCATGTACCCACGTTCAATACTGTCCGCAATCGGAATACATTTTCGGGTTTGACCAGTGGGAAATTCAACAAAAATGCCAGCTGTCTGGTCTGGGAGTCCCCATGTATGGGTGTGGCTGTACCCATTTTAAAGGCAATTTGTACCTGTGTTGTACTGATTGTTTCCAGGGATGCTGATGGTAGCACATTTTTTTTTTAGTGTTGGAGTTACCAGATATGAAGGAATTTGTCCTTGGAGAAGATCACTGATGCTGCCGCTGGTGCAATGCAACAAGTCTTTGGATCAACCATTGAATTGGCTGTCGAGTATTCTCTTCTTCGTACAGATCTCGGATTGCGAAACCCAATTCTTGGATTGTTAAGTTAACCATGGCGGAGTGCAGGTTAACGAGAACCACGGTGTCTCTCTGTCTTTCTCATGTTACCTCTCTGCCACCTTTGTACCAAGTCATTGATAACCTGACTGACTCTTTTAGTCACGAGTGTATCATATCTCTCATGGCCAGGTATCTTAGAGTTACCTATGACCCTTCCATGCAACATCATCATATCATCGTCCCGGCTCATCGTCGTGATGGCTTTGGCCTAATGAACATGGCTCACTGGTTCGTATCGGTAATTTATTTTATCACTCCCTTTCCATGTGAGATTGTGTGGCGTGAAGTTATGCTGTGCGTAACCAGGATCAACATACACCACGAGTTTCCGTGCTCGACTGTTGGGGTCATTTGCATTCTCCGCAGCCCTGTGCACATCTGCTGCCTCTGGGAGTCGATTTGACTCTGGGCCACGATTCCCTTCTGCGCTACGATTCGATTCCGTGCCAGAATTCGATTCTGGGTCACGATTCGATTCCGTGCTTTTGAGTGTGCTGTGTTTCAACACAATTCCCGATCCGTCACGGATATTCTTCTCCTCCACTTCAACACTCTGATCTCCATCCCTCCTTAGTGTGCCCGAGCACAATTTAACATCCAAAGGCTGATGTCTGCATT